GCGATGGGAAGTTCTACCCATCGCTGTTTAAGCCTTGGTCCAACATTTTCGCAAGGCACAATGCCCTTACCCATCGATGGGAACCTTTACCCATCGATGGGAACCCAGCGATGGGAGGGCATACCCATGGTTGGTTAGGCATGACCGTTGTGATTCATTTAAGGCCGATTCTTTCCTTGTTTAAAAGTCAACTCCCACCCAGCGATGGGAAGCATTTACCCATCGATGGGTAGGTGACCGTTGGCTTCAAAACTGAAGGAAATTTGGCTTACCAGCGATGGGTAAGTTCCAAACATCGATGGAAAGCCAATATCCTGCAGATCCCAAATTTATTCAATCCCATAAATCAAGCCAATCACCCCTTTAATGTATTGGTCCGTTGGAGCCTTTTTTGGCACTATAAAAAAGGGTGTTTGGGTCTGCTTTTCTCATGAATTCACTTCACAATATTCATGTTATCATTGTATCCAAACCACATTTTTTTCCATAGCTTTCTAGAGCCAACTTGTGTGAAGTTTGAGTTGTTCTTGAGCGTATATAGTTTACTCAACATCTACTCTTAAAGAGAGTCTTGTTCTTGAGTGTTCTTAGTGTTGTAAACAGGTTTAGGGAATCTTGTTTCCCTTGGTTGTACGAAGGAAAATACCTTTCCTCCGGGTTGAAGTCTTGGAGTGCGGTATCTCCGAGCAAGTGTATTGAGGCTCGTGGGACTCGAGTTCTCAGGTTGTAACGGTTTGTTAAGCACCCGTAAGCTTAACAGAAGTAGTGTAGCTCGAGAGAGTCTCTCGGGAGACTGGACTAGCCACACGTTGTGGTGAACCAGTATAAATCTTGGTGTGCTCCCTTTACTCCTTTTTAATCCGCTCTTTACTTTATCCCTGCGATTTTTATTCCGCGAAAATTTATAAACATTCTCGTGCCTCACTATTCACCCCCCTCTAGTGAAGGGCAATTATTTTAACACATTCAAATTTCTTATATTTAATGCCAAGATCATATTGCATTTCCTTGATTTACAACTAAAGATGTGTTCACTAAAGGCTATTTCAGTTTTGGACCTTGTAATATGTGCATTAACTTCTTTTTCCTTTCTTTTTTACTTGTGTGTTATAGAATACGTCTTTCATCCTATGAAAAAAGTAAAACCCCTCGCCTTTTTAAATCATTTTATTCCTATACAAAAATAGTTTTTTCTTGGAAATGCTAACTCCAATTCACTATTTTCATTGAACACCTGAGCAGGTTCATCTACATTTATATGAGGCATTAATGGAAGTGCAATAGATGCTGAAGCAGGCATATAAATTCCTGGATACCAAATTGAAGAGCCTCTTGTTGCTGGAAGAGTAGGTTGTCGTTTGCTGTGAAAACCAACAATCAAGCTGTCTGTTATGGGGAATTTCACCTCCTACTCCTTCATTGAACTTGTCCCTTCAATAACAGGTTCAACCAACTCCATGGAATGGCTAGAGATTAAACGTTCTAGGTGGCTGTCTCCAACAATTAGTTCTTGATTCACAACGATCATTTCAGGAGTTATTGGGTTTCTGCTGGCAGGTGGGAGATTCAAGTTCAATCCATGAAGATTCTCAAGGATTGGGTTCCTCACTTGTTCCTCTATAGGAGCAACATGTATCATAGGAATAGGATGGATTGAAGAGGCAGGTGATAAATCCGTTTTGTACTTATCTTTTTACTCATATTTAATTTGTTCTTGTACCATTTTTGTTATCAAAACAAATGTTTTGATAAATTGATCATAAAAATAATGTCTTTGAATTAATATGTAAAATTGGGCCAAGAATGAAGAAAAAAGAGTAAATTTTTAATAGAAAAATAATTCTATCTCACAAACGGTGTGGAATTAGAGGTCGGTGCAGAAGGAAAAAGTGTTCAGAACAAAATTTTGAGCAGGGTAGCATCGACAGTTTGTGGCGGCCTGACAGGCGACCTGGCCAGCGGCAGCCTGCCTGGCCGCCGGTTAGAAGGCGGCGACGGCGAGAAAAGGATCCAGCGGCAAGGAGGAGCGCCGGTGGGCTGGCAGGCGACCGCCTGCCTGCCCGCCTATCGTCGGCGACCAGCGGAAAGCGGGTTCTGGATTCTTCACGACGGCGGCGGCGGACTAGCCGGCGGCCGCCGGTTGATTCTCTACGCCCTATAAATGGCAGCGACTGCTTCTCTCTTCACCATGCTTCCTCAATTCGGATTTTCCCCTTTTTGGGGTAAAAATTCCCCTTTTTTTACTCTTAAATTTTGTACTAAATTTGTGTCGTTAAATTTCATCATTCCAAGTTAATTCTCACGTACTTGAAGCACTGTAAGTTTTCTTTTCTTTTTATTGTAATTTTTATTGAACTTTTTATCAATAAAATATTATTTTGTTGATGATTGATATGTGTTTGAAGATTTTATATGTTATTATGATGATGTTGAATGTTTTGTTGAAATTATGAATTGGTAATTTTAAATGGGTTAGAATTTGGAATGAAGATTTAACCAATTTAATTTCATCTATTTATTAGTAATTGGATTAATTTTTAGAAAATGACTTAACCTTTATTAATTAATAAAATTGTTTTTATTATTAATGAATCCTTGGAAATTAATCTTTTACTTTGTCTATGAGGTAAAAAGGTTAATTAAGCCACATGTTCCGAACACCTAGAAATAGGAAGGGTTAGAAATAACCGTTTGGAATAGGTTTAACTAATTAATAATACTAAACATTTTATTAATTATGTAATTAGAAAATAGTTCTTGCCTTGTCTAAGAGGATTTAGAATTATTTAAGCCGAACATTTTCTAGCACACTACTGAGACCTAGAAATAGGAGATGTATTGGAAATATAATAATCTTATAATTAATACTGAGATCTAGAAATAGGAGATGTATTAAATATAAGATTAGAATTTTATGTTCTATATTGACACCTAGAAATAGGAGATATATTGGACATAAGTGCTACACATTTCATTAATCCAATAGTTAATTAAAGACGAGTTAAATTGTGTTAAGTCCACGTTACGATCTTAACTCCTGAGTTATTTTATCATTTATTTTAGTCACTTTTTTTCTTATTTATTCGCATCTCTTAGACTATAAATTTATCTGTGATAAATAATAAGACTAACTATTCCCTTCGTCATTCTTGGAGAGAATGACTCGAGTCTAACTCGGTTATTTGTTGACTTACCGCTATATGCAGTTTGTCAGCAGGCATGTAGAATGTCAAATTGTAAGGAAGATGATGTAAATATTAAATTATTAGATGTTAATAATATTTTAAATGTATGAATTTATATATTGTTCAATATACTTTATTTTTTGAATTTATATTTATTTGGTAATCAACACAAGATAACAGATGTCTAATAAAATATTCAACTACTATTCAAACTAATAGTTTGAAAAGTATATGTAAAACTACACAAACCTAAAGTGTTAATAACATTTAGACAATCAAAACAAACAGTTGTTTGAAATACTACAAAAATAGTAGTTCATATTTTTGAAATACAACGTGAAATAATAGCTGTCTGAAGAAAATTTCTTTAGTAATTTTTAGAGTAGCTGTCTGATAAACAATTCAACTACTGTCATAAAAGATAGTTTGAATATTTCAAGGAAAACTACAAAACACCGTTGTGTTAAGAATCAATATACAACTAAAACAAACAGTAGTTTGAATAAGAATAATGTTTGTAGTCCATATTCTAGAAATGCAACAAAAGATAACAGTTGTCTGATGGTATTTTTGTTTAGTAGTCTTCCAAGCAGCAGTCAAATATATCTTTCAATTAGTATCTTGAATCTATTTTCCATGCTAGCAATTGAATTGTTTTATTGTTTGATATGAGTTTTAGGATTGTGTTTTACCAATTTGGTTCACTTTGGATTCTTTTTTTCTTTTGAGCATGTCTTCTTGGTAGGGGACTTCTTCAATGTTTCGCTACATTCTCTTGCCTTTGCTTGTCTTTGCAGTAAAGGCCAAAAGGTAATTAAATGTAAATATGTATCTTTGGTCTTTTATATTGTGGTACAATGGCTTCATATTTGCAGGTTCTTTTAAGTTTTGACAGTGTTAATGTGTGTAGGTTAGGATTGCATGTTATGACTTAGCTAGTTTAATGATGAACGGTTTTTAGTATTGGATTTTTAAAATTTGTTCAGGAAAGGTATACCTTTCCCACCGAGCTTCTTTGTGAGGCCATGTAAAAGGCTTTCAGAGTTGCATTTAGATAAATATTGGTTTGGATTGTCCAAAGTATTTACTGGTTTCATTTTTTATAACTTAGGGAGAGTACTCTAGTTTATAACATAGACTCCATGTTGCTTTTATTTAAAATACTTGTTGTGGACTTTTTTCTTACAAAGCAGGGGCACAACATCTAGATTCTAAAGTTGGTAACTTTTGGAGTAATAATTGTTGATGTGGAGTTATTTGCTTACGAGGGTAGTGGCGGCAATACATTTCCTCAAAATCCTAAAGTTTCTGACAATTGTTTATGCGCTCGAAAAATTCAGGCCTTACATCATTTTTCCCCCAGTTATCGTCTAAACCAATCATACGGCTTTGCGATATCTGTTGAGAAACAATGATGCAAAGCCTTGGTTATTACGTTGGGTGTTATTGTTGGAGGAATTTGACTTGAAGATTAAAGATAGTGATGGGCCGATATCCAGAGGACGGCCCAAATGAACCATTTAAACAACTTCGGGTCAAGCACCTGTGAAATACTCAAGCTGGGCCGGCCCAAGGTGCTGGGCCTAGTTAACCTCAGGCTAAGCGCAGCTGGCAGAGTCAGTCCGGAGAAGGAGACGGAGCTGATTGACCGTTACGGAGCCGGGAAAAGGGGATCGCGCCCTTGGCGGGCTAGACTCCATCGATTATGCTTCACCTTAATTGTTTAGAGCTCATGTATAAATAGAGGGGACCCAAAAGGGGAGAACTCAAGCTAAATCAAGCTAGTAATACACATCCAATTCTCGAATTCTTGTTCTTAATTTTGTTCTTACGATCCGCTTTGTAAACCGGATCATTTGGTGGGTTTATTGTCCATCAAGTTGGTGCTCTTGTTGAGAGTTCGAGAATCATACTCAGAAGAAATCCTCCATGACGACGATGGTGCAAACACGTAGCAACGCCAACGTAGGTACCGGAGTTCCCCAGCAGGGGGAGAACAGCGCCACCGGAGGCCGGCACCCCCCCATCACCACCGAGGAGGCTGAGGCCCTCATTCAGAGGGTTGGGATCACGGCCGAACAATTCAAGGAGGTTCTGGCCGCACTTGCGCCCAACCGCGAGGTTGTGGTAGGAGATGTGGCTGGGGGACCCAAAGGCGAGAAGGCTGGACCTGCGGGCTCCCAAGGGAAAAAGAAGAAAGTGAGGCGGTCCCAGAAGAAGAAGGCGACCAAGCCTAATGGGAAGGCTATAATGGCAGATGCGCTTTCCAGGCTGGAAGAAGAGGACGAGTCGTCCTCCTTCGAGCGGATGTCTGCTTTTGACCGTTTGGGAGATCCCAAGTCGAAGAAACCTCGGACCTCTGCGTTTGAAAGGCTGCAGGACACTCGGTCGGCCCGAAAAGGCGACTTGAGAGACGCGCTCAAGGAGAAGAGAGGGGAATCCACAGCGACCTCCAAGGTCGGGTCTGAGGAGCGACGGATGGCAGTCGGGGATAAGGGCGCAGCCGAGCTGTGGAAAATGTACGAACAACTGGAGAAGCGGCTGGATGCCCAGAACCCCTATCGCCAGGCGGTCTTCAGTGAGGTAACGCCCTTCTCCAGAAGGATAATGTCCTGCCCCCTCCCAGATAATTTCAAGACTCCCCAGATCAAGGCATACAACGGGACGACCGATCCCCAAGACCACCTCGCTCGCTTCGGGGCCAACGTGGTCATGTACGCATATCCAGAAGAAATCAAGTGTCGGTGTTTCCTGGCGACACTGGAAGGGCNCGAGGAATGTCAACGGTCTTTTGAGGGGTTAAAAGCATATCTCCTCTCCCCACTAGTGCTTTCGAAGCCAGAGCCCGGAGAGACCTTGTTCCTATACTTAGGAATCTCTCCTCGAGCTGTGAGCTCGGTGCTTGTGAGGGAGGAGGAGGGCGCGCAGCGACCTGTGTACTATGTGGCCCGAGTGCTGCGAGGGGCGGAGTTGAGATATACCAACATGGAGAAGACCATCTTTGCGGTAGTATGTATGGTGAAAAAGCTCACCCCATATTTTCAAGCCCATCCAGTCCATGTGTTATCACAAATTCCCATCGGAACGCTTCTTCGAAGCCCAAATGCCCCGTCACGGGTCAGCAAGTGGGGAGTGTTCCTGGGATCCTTTCAAATAGAGTTCAAGACGCGACCGGCGATAAAGGGGCAAGCATTAGCAGATTTCGTGGTAGAATGCACTGCGAGGGAGGTAGAATCTAGTGGAGAAGAACCCGAGGGGAATTGGTGGACCGTGTACACCGATGGGTCGTCCGCGACTGATGCTTCGGGGGGAGGTGTCGTGGCAATATCCCCGTAAGGGTTCAAGGCATACTACTCCGTGAGATTCCGGTTTAAAGTCTCAAACAATGAGGCTGAATATGAGGCACCACTTTGCGGCTTGAGATTGGCAGCCTCATTAAAAGCTGAGTGAATCCAAGTCCGGTGCGATTCCAAGCTAGTGGTAGGCCACTTCACTGGAGAATTTGAGGCCAAGGATGAACGAATGAAGAAATATAGAGACACTGTCCTCGAGTTGCTTAAAGCATTCGGGGCGTACCGGATAGAGCAGGTTCCTTGGGAAGAGAACGCTGAGGCAGACGTCTTGTCAAAGCATGGTCCGGATTCCCCGGATCATATTAACGCAATTACCCAGGAAGAAGAGTTGCTCGAGCCAAGCATCAGTCCCGGAACACAAGATCTGTTGATCGCATGAGCGACCAGGGGATCTTGGGGGTATGGCGACGCCACAAGGGTCAAAGTAACCCGAAAGTGGCTAAGTCAAAAGAGGCGAGGTATTCTCTGATTCAAGTCCGAGGAAACCTGAATGGCAAAAGTAGGATGCGAAAGAGAAGAAGGTGAAACTTGTAAGTAAACAGGTAACATCAAAATACATTCACAGAAATGTTCGTTACATTTCAAGGATAATCTCTTGCATCTACTACAGTACAGTTGAGAACAATCTCTACGTAAGAAAGGATACTTCCCCACACACCTCCTACAATGAAAAACAACAATCTAAGATTTTGCGAGCGAAGGTCTAGGGGGGACAGGCAGGTGTGAAAGGTAAATCTGGGGCTGTATGGACAGGCAAAACTCCGATCACCGGCCGTCCAGGACGACCACCTTTCTTCCCCAACATGGAACGGGAGTGGTCGCCCCCAGTTCTTCCCCTAACGCAACCTCCTCCGTAGGCCTCACCGGCGAACCGGTGCGACTCTCGCTAGGCCATCGCTCAAGACTTGCGTAGTATGCGCACTCATGCTCCAGGAGGGGTAAGTGCTCATCTTGAATGCTCCCCCAGGCCATACATTGCAGGGAATGGAGGGGGCATGGAGCATCCCAGTCAATCCGCCCGTCAGACAGGCGGTTGGCGGAGAGGGCCTCGTACGCCTCACTAAAGTCTTCATAAGGGTTTGGAGGTGGTGGCGGCAGTTTCACCGACGGCCACTGCCGGCGAGGCAACCGGCGACAGAATTCGTAAGGGTCAGGCCCCCCCCAGTCGTTGGAATTGACTGACTTGGGGGAGGAGGCAGGCTCCGGCGAAGAAGGAGCCGGCCCGTCGGAAAGATCTAGAGAAACAGGAATTCCTTCAGACATGGCAAGAATGGAGAAAAGGAGGATATTTGGTGATGGAGCAGAGTAGAGGCCAGGGGGGGCTTATAAATAAGCCAGGGCGAAGGAACCGAAGAGGCGGTCATGTCTCGAGGCAGCCGAACCAATAAAGCAGCTTCGAGCCGCGCGAAGGTCCAATCCGAAGCGATGAAGGGCATTAGATCAATTGGGCGGCACGATGGCCAATCCAGAGATTGAGCCCGAACAGCTAAACGGGCCGGGACTAGGAGTTGGGCCCAAATTAAAACATACATGTTAACTAGCTAAATCAAAAAAGAGAGTGCTGAAGTAAAGCTCCAAAGAGAGAAAGCACGTGGTGAATCTAGAAAATCAAACAACATAGGAGCATTGTATCAAAACGACAAATCATTCCGAAGGAAAAGAAAGAGGCAAGTGTTGGTAAAGCTATGGGGGAACAATGGGGGATTTAGACGGCCGAGCCGGAAGGTCCACCCGCTTTGGATGTGGCTAAGCTGGCCCCTGGATTCTGGTCGCTCTGACCACCTTCCACTTCTTCTTCTTCCGACGCGCTCGAGCTCCCCCCGTCCACATAGGGACTGGGGTTGAACTCGGCCAAGGAGTGGCAGGGAGGAGGGAAGCCAAGGTCGGGGAGAGAGAATCCCTTAGGGAGCTGGGCCAGCCTGTCGTGGAAGACCTGTTGGGCATGGAAGAGTCCGCAGTTGAAGGACTTGGTTCCCTCCTTGACCATCCATTGAGCCCCAGGTTCAGTTTTGAGCCAAGCGGCCGTTAGCTCTTCCATCCGCTCCATCGCGACTACCGTGTAGTCAGGAGAGGACTTGAAGGATTCTACTGCTCCCTCTGCATGGCGGACCCAATCGCTCCTCTCCACCTCCAACTGCTGGATCAGGTCATGTTTTCTCCACTTCCAGCTCGACCACTCGAGCAGAAACAGATTCTACCTCCAAGGACAAGGAGGCCTTGTCTGCCTCAAGGGCGACGCAGTGGTTCTCCTGGGAAGCTTTCTCCACAGTAAGCGCCGCGCAGCGATCTTCTTTCTCCTCCAACTCCCTGGTGAGTCGAGCGACCTCCTCCTGCAGCTCCTTCTGCTTGGCCTCGGCTGCTTTCATCGCCTCGTCCGCGGCGGCCTGGCGACCCCGTTTCCGGCCGACCACCTCAATCATCCCCAGCGTAGCTTGCGCAAAGGGGTGAGGGTTAGGGGCCTAAAGAAGTGATGCATAGGAGATCAAGACCAGTACCTGACTAAGCCTCAAAAGGACCATGTTGTCGAGGTCGTCCTCGGAGCCTGCCGAGATACGAGCCCGGTCTTCTGCAGGCAGAGTGATAAGGGTCTCCAGCTGTACGTCCCCTAGGCTTTGGGGTAGGGGAGGGATGCAGAGCCTCGTCGAGCGACCCCCGGTCGCCACCTCGTAGGTCACTGCGGGTGGTGATGGAGGTCGCTCCAAGGCAATGCCCTGAGACGACCCAGCGAGTTCACCACCCTGCATCACGGGGTGTGGAGGGGATTGGCCAGCCATGGTACCCGGTTCCTGGGTAGCATCTTCTTGGTCCTCCACCACAATTACGGCCGGCGCTCGAGAAGGACCCTCCTCGTGGTGAGATGAAGAACGTTTTCCCTGGCCCTTCGTCTCTCTCTTCCTTTTCCTCCCTGCAGTGAAACGACTGAGCAGGAGATCACTGTCCATCTCCTCTCCTGAATCTTGTAATTCCACTGGAAACGAAGGAAATGGTCAGCCTTGGGAAAAGATAAACTAAACATCTGGGCAAGAGAAAAGGTCACCTACACGGACGTGGGCCCCGCAGACTAGGAGAGTTCTCCGAACTGCGTAAACATATTTGGTGTTATTTTTTTTACGCATTTTATAGTTACAGCATTCTGCCCAGTAGGCGTTGTAACACCCTCTGCATCATCTGCTTCTGTCTGTGTGTGATTGTGACAGAGAAGTGTTATAGCACACTGTTTGTCATCTGTTACTGTGACAGTGCTGCAGCATCTTCTCTACAGCATAGTTGGTTGATTTGTTTGCATAGCTTTCAATTGGCAATTTCTGATGCGCCCCCACGAACTTTCACAATCAAGAATAGCAAACACAACAACAAGCAATCAATCAAATGATAAACGAACACCAAGATTTAACATGGAAACCCCAAATCGGGGAAAAAACCATGAAACCTTCCACTAATCACCAAGAAAAATCAGTGGGTACACCAAGAATCCTCTCTAAATCAATTAGAGGTGCACACAATCATCAAGTAACAATTGGAACACCAAACAACAATAATCTTCACTCAAAAGTGAGAAATCCCCAATAAAAACACAGCAGCAAACATAGGAAGTTACACCGACATTAAGAAGTCAAAACAACAATCCCACCGTTGGATATGAAAAAGAGGATGTCAGGAACAACATATTAAAATTTCAAATCTCGATCGGAGCTCATTTGCTCGCCGTTGGGAGAAAAAACCCAGACTGATGCACCACTTTTTCTCTCTTCTTTTTCTCTCGGCTCTCTCTCTTTTCACGTTGTTTCTGTTGCTCTTTATTTCTCCTTCTGCCCGTGGACAGCCACAAAAGGCTATTGCCTTTTCAAAATAAGTGGCAGCCCCACTTTGACCTTGTTTTTCTTTCTTATAATAATAATACGGAGTAATAAATATTATTATTATTATTATTACAATATTATTCCACCTCTAAACCAATTACATTTTTAACACTAAATGTATTGTTTAGGAACTTCTTCCTCCATGTAAGAGGGATAACCAACAGAAAGTACACTAAAGAATGCACAAAGAGGGATCTCACCATAGCTCACATTTCGTGTATATGAATTGTAGGTTACCCATTAATATTGCTGGATCACTAGTGCAATATCTGCATTGTGTATTTGACGCACATCCAATTTTTTATTCGGAATTGAAAGAGAAGTTTTGGAGGGGATGAATTATTTGGCGCAACGTTCTAAAGATTTGGAAATCTCTACACATGCAATGCCCAATAAACATGTGAAAATGTGTCAGGTTTGAAAAGATACATTTTCAATTTTTTTTCTCCGTTTTTTTCCCATCTGAGGAGGGCTAGAGAGGAAGAGACAGTTAATTTTCTTTGACAGAATATGGGAAGATTGGGAACTGCTGATGCAGTCAATACTTATTTTTTCCATATGCATAGAGCATCTCCAACCATTAAGTTTTGACTTGTTAAATGTCATTATTTGGCAATCCATTTCAATTTTTGTGCTCCAAGGGGCTTGCTATATTATACTCCGTAACACACTTAGTAAATTTTATTTTTGGCTTGTTATATATAACAAGCCTCTCAAAATATAACAAACCATGATATTGATTAAATATTTGATTTCTCTCTTATTTTCTCTCATTCTCCTCAAAATATTTAGTTACTTCAACTTTCTAATTTTTTTACTTTTTGTAAAGTTCTTTTCTCTATTCTTTAATTGGTATTTATTAAATATTTAAAAAAATGCTCTGTATATATTATTATTTTCCCTAAAGTAAAATATTACTCCGTATTGTTTTTTGAAGTTATTATTTTTAAATTATATAATTATTACTTAATTTTTATAATATAAATAATAATTGAATAATTCTTATAAGGAGTGTATTATAATAGTGAAAAAATACTCCCTCCGTCCCCCTAAGATCTTCTCGTTTTGACTTTTTGCGGTTTTTTAGGAGAGTTGAAAAAAGGTGAAAGTTTACCATAATATCCTTAATGAAAATGGGTGGAGTGTATTAAATGAGGTAGGTGAGATGTAATAAATAAAGTAAGTGGGGGTAGTTGTGGTATTTTAAGTGCTAAAAAAGGTAATGAGAAGATCTATGGTGGACAAATAAAAAGGGCTAATGAGAAGATCTATGGGGGACAGAGGGAGTATAATATAATTGTTAGCTAAATTAGAGCAAGGGAAGATTAGAAATAACTTTAGCAAGTCTGTTATTATGTGTGGTTGGACATACTCTCATACTCCGTATTTCGTAGGTGTAAGTTGGAACTGTGTGGAACTCTTCAAGTACTATCCAATAACAATAACCAGAAAATATTTCATTTCTGTTATGAAATTAATGATTGTTCATTTATTCAATTAATCAGTACTAATTTCTAGAATAGTAGATTAAGACACTCATTGATGAGTATCAATTATGTAGAGTACTTCCCACTTGTATTTGTATCCATGCTAAGGCTCTCCACTATAAATAGAGGTCTAATCCCTGCATTGTAATCACCATTAAGAATAAGAAGAAGAGTGAAGAGTTAATAGAGAGAAGAAATCAGAAATATATTATATCTATTCTCATAATCTCTGAGTAGTTTTTTTCTCATTTTATAACACGTTATCAACACGAATTTGCTCAAAATCCCAGAATCCTTGTTCTTCTCAGAAGGTATATTTATTTAATTTTCTTCATAAACAAACTAAAATATTTTCTTAAAACTATGAGAAGTATGCTCTGTGATTTCCCAAAGTAGGGATGCTTCACATCAGAAACTTATAGTTATGAAAAATAAAATTAGATAAATTAAAAAGGAATAAGTTTCCTTATTATCGCAGAAAATCATATTTTTGAAAAAAAAATTTAATATGGAGTACTTAAGATTGAAAAAGTAAAAAAATTAATTTTATCTTTTAAACTATTCTTGAAAGATAATATGTAAAAAAAACTAAAATCAAGATATGATGAACTTACCTTCCTGCTACTCTTGATTTTTTTTCTTGTACACAACTTTGATAGAAATAGAAAATATCACTTTGTAATAGTTATAGGATTTTTTTTTTTTTGAGTTTTAAAGAATTAACACTATATTAGAAAGATACATATAAAGGATAATTTATTGAGTATATGAGAGGAGAGAGTAAAAGGTTGGATGCTCTACTTATCTTATACGGAGTATTTTTTTTTAAAAAAAAAGGGATGGTTTCTTTTATGAAACACAGGAGACATACTATACATTTAACTTGACATGTTTGTGTCTTCTTTCATTGGAATCTTTTGGAAAAGAATTGCACACCTCACATGACAACATTTTTTTTTTGTTTTCATGTGTTTGCATTATTTGAATATATTTATGAGTTTTTTTTAAAATAATAATATTATTATTATTAAAGCAATTGAATAATGAATACTATGCCGTACGTTTTTTTTTGGAAAATGATTTCTTTTCTACACCCATTCACTTAGTTTTTAACAAAGCAATAATAAAAAAATTAAAATTTATTGTTTTGTAGTTTCCATGGCCAACATCACCAAAAGAGAGTTCGACATTCTTGATTTATCCGGTCAAAGGTACCTGGAGTGGAGGGTTGATGCCATCGCTCACCTCAAGGCAAATGACCTACAAAATACAATTGTTGAAAATAATACAGCAACATCTCAGCAAAAGGCAAAAGCCATAATTTTTCTTTGCCACCACCTTTATGAAAGTTTAAAATCTGAATATTTATTGGTGGAAGATCCGAAGGAATTATGGGATAATCTCCAAGAGAGATATGGACATCAACAAAAAGTCCTATTGCCAATAGCTCAATACGAATGGATCAATTTAAGATTCCAAGATTTTAAGTCCGTTTGTGACTATAATTCTGCTATTTTCAAAGTCACGTCCACATTAAAATTATGTGGACATAATATCACTGATCATGACATGTTGGAAAAAACTTTTTCCACTATGCATATGTCAAATGTGATATTACAGCAACAATACAGAGAAAGGGGCTTTAAAAAGTATTCTGAGTTAATCTCAGTATTACTTGTTGTTGAGCAGAATAATGAGCTCTTAATGAAAAATCATAATATGAGGCCTACTGGTTGTACCCCTACAAATTTTGGTCATCCCGATCGTGGTTCAGCACCGGAATCAAATGTTGTCCAAGGTGGTGCACATGGACATTTTAAACGTGGCCGCGGAAATAACCGCAACAAAGGGCCGAACAGGAGCTATAAAAATCCAAATGGATCATCCTCCAAAGAAAAGGGAAAATTCAAACCACCACAGGCTAAAACTCATGAAAGGCCAAAACCAAGTGGTGAATGCTACAAATGTGGCATAAAAGGACATTGGGCTAATGAATGTCGAACGGCAAAACACTTGGTAAAATTATACCAAGCTTCCATAAAAGGAAAAGGAAAAAATGTGGAGGCTAATTATGCTGATGATATCAATCCAATTTTGCCTAAATTTGACGTGTCCGATTTCTACATGGATGATGCTGAAATTGGTGATGAGGTGGCCTTTGATGGAACTACTACTGTTTAAATATTTTAATTTACGCGGTTATGGTGTGTTTACGTTTAAAATAAATGTTTAAAATCTGTACTTTAATTTTCATGTGTACTTGTATTATTATGTTTGTTCTAAAAAATTATAATAAAATGTATGATATTTATGTTAATTATCTTGAACTTATATTTATTTATATATTTATTTATATTCAAGATATGGAGATAACTGCTTATGGCTCCAGTGGCAAAGAACAATGTCTAATTGACAGTGCCACAACGCACACCATTTTGAGAAACAAAGAATATTTTTCTCAAATGACATTGATGGAAACTAATGTCAATACAATATCTGGTGTTGCAAAGCTCATTGAAGGGTCTGGAATGGCTTGTTTA